ACCGCCTGCATGTAGAGCTATGTGCAAACTTATTTGCTGATTTGATTAAATTTCAATGTTTCAACTCGAAAAAATTACATATCGCTTTGATATTAATATTGGCTACGTTTAGCAAAGTGAGCGTTCAGTGATTCTATATTGCAAGTAAATTCTACACTTCCTTTACACAGAAATGTAATCAATTTATTATTAAAAGATAACAATTACTTATTTAGAATATCAAAAGTACTGAGCAACATGCAGTGTCTTTTATATTTAAAATAAGTAATTAATTACTGTCTTTTTATATTGTGCCAATTTTGTAAGAGATAAATTCAATGAAAAATTAAAAGTAAGGACAAATTATATTAAAGAATCACTGAGCGTTCATTGAGTTGCTTTGTTCACCGAACATATAGTCATTGGCTGTGTCCAACAGAAAAAGTAGCTTTGCAATTGTAAGATTATTTAATAATTAGTTATACAGTTATTTATATATTTACATCCACTGAGGAACTAAGGGCAAGTAAAGGAATTCACAACAGTTACAATTTTATTTTATTTAGTTATCATTACAGTATTACTTTGTCTGTTAAAACATAGCCATTGTTTCTCTCATAATTCTACTCGTTCCAGTCATCTAAATAGCAACGTTTACATCGAATATTTGTAAAAGGAAGTAATATTACTAACTCAAACTGAAATAATAACGATGCAAAACAATGTAAGATTACACGTAAAAATTACCGAGAAAAAGTTCGATTTGCATTTTAAAACCTTGATCCGTTTATTTTACTTGCTGGATCTTGCGTTACCAGATTATTATCTTTTTCAAGATCCTTGTAGCATTAACGTAACAGAGAAAAGTAAAGACCTTGAGACGGTTCGAAATTATTTTTTTGAATTAAAATGAATTTATTAAATTTCATCATGTATATATACGGAATAAACAAATTTTCTTTGAAAATTTATTTATGAAACAACAGTGTAACTGTCAATATCGATTAAATGATAGTGAAAGTAACAGTATTGATTAAACGAAAAGTATGTTATATTTTTATCATTACTAGATTATTATCTTTTTCGAGATCCTTACGTCGTTCCTTAACGTAATAGAGAAAAGTGAAGACCTTGAGATGATCGAAAAAATGCCTTCTAAATCAAAATAAATTAATTTAATTTACCACGTACGAAAACGAAATAATTTTCTTCGAAAATTTATTCACGAAACGACAGTGAAACTGATAGTATCGATTAAACGAAAGGTACGTTTTTTATCTTTTTGTATGAAATCCATAGAAACACACATTTGAATGCTTTCCATTTGATAACGCAAGTCGACATGAGTATCGTTCTGTGTCTTCGCTATTTCTGGAAATACCAAGAGAGATAAAGAGGCATTCTCTTGCTGTCTTTTGTATCATTAAAAAGGAAAGCTAGCCATTGTTTTCCTTTCTTGTTTACACGCGAGCGTTCACCTTATCGACAGAGTGAAAACCTGAAAACCGGAGTCGTAACCGACGTCGACCGACGTGAAGTTGGTGGCGCCACCGCGGTGAATCGCCGCGCTTCGGCAGCCATCGGATCGCGTCGGATTCAATCGGCTCTCGTGATCCGCGACCAGCCAGTCCAGTCGGCATTTGTCAGCGAACGCGTACGGAGGTTGTCTATTGTGAGCACGCGCAAGAGAGATGCAACCGCGAGCGTATGCGAACAAATGAAAATGGCGTAGTGGATCGGCTAGCGTGAGTGTTTACCGTCCTGCCACCCGCGTTTTCACAAACAGCCGTGTGTTTCCGCCATTGGAAACGTCGTCCAAACACGACGAGCGATTAGGTTACCTTCTCCTGCGGGAACAATCGAGCTGAGGAGTGCGCCATGATCGAGTCGGGACGACGAACCCGGCGACGTCGTTAAGGTGGTTACTTATGCAGTGTGTATCCCGAGTGTGCTTTGGTGAGTCGCGCGCGTCGAGGCAAGGCATCCCGACGGTCGATGTCTTTGTCGTCGTCGTCGTTGTCGCACACCCGCCGACGACGACGCTGATGCGAACGACCTGAACGTCGCGACGTGACGCGACGTAACGTGACGCAACGCGACGCGACGTGACGGGCGACACGGCGAGTACGTGTATCCGGCCGCGACACGTGCATGAACCCCGAAAAAGCAGACGAGGGATGTTCTACGCGGCGGCCGCAACTTGGATTCGGTGATCCTGCCTGCTCGTGACAGTTCGACGACTCGCTCCGATCCGGGCGAGACCAAGATGGCGCCACCGGCGTTTTGACACTTGCCGAAGGACGATCCGTCGTCAGCTGGACTTCATCACCGCCCGCAGGCGACTCGTCTATTATGAGTAGAGAATTCTACGTACCCTGCGTCACACCTTACGTCTATCAGGTAAAACTCTAAAACTTAATCGATTCTGTTATTATCGAGATTCGATAATCTCGGATGCTCGCAACTCAATGACTCGCGTAAAAGAATATAGTCTCATAACATTCACATATATCACACAGTAAAAGATATCTTGTCTTATTTACGGTCAAAATCGGACGTGTTGGAACAATATATCTATATATATTTAAATAAGCGACGTGTAGTTATATATTTGAGATAAATTTATTTAAATAGATACATATA